TTTTCAAGAATCTTGTCGACAATAGAGAGCAGTGCAACAGGACGATAATTCTTGACTTCTAATATATTTCCTTTCTTGTGGATTCGAACTACATTACTTAGTTTCCATTTCGATGGCCATTTTCCTTGCTGTATTCAATTATTGAACAGAAGAGCAACTGGGTTTGAAAGCTCTTTAGAGTACCTCTAAAGTAGGCGTGGGCTTATTTCATCTGGACTTACTGCTTATGAATCATTAAGGTCCTTCAGGATTCTTTCTACTTGTCTTTGTTGTCTTTATTTTGGTCAGTTTCTCCCGAGTCATTACTGGCTGCATTGGGGCTGGTTTGTTGGGTTCGACCGCGGTCATTTTCTGGGAAAAGTGTTGTGCCAGTACCTCTACCTTTTGCTGATTAGTAAGTGCCATAGTGCCATCCGGTGTGGTTATAGATGGGACAATTCCTCCTTTAGTTTCTCCTTGCTTTTTTGTGACGTCCAGCATTGTTTGCTTCCAACTTAACTAATTTTTTGCTTATTTTTTTGTCTTTTTCCCACTGTCGTATAGTCCACTTCTGGGTGGCGACCATTTGAGCTGCAGCCTGTCTATGGACTGCCTTGTTGTACTCAGAAGGGTTGCGTTTGAAGTTTAGCCAAACCTTGTACATCTCATCAGATGCCGAATCTCTCTTTCTCTCTCTGTTTCCTCCCCATCTCTCTCTATCTGCCCCCTCTCTTTTCTTCCCCCTTCTCTCTCTTCTCTCTGCTCCTTTCTCCCCTTCTCCTCTCTTCTGTTTCTCCCCCTTTTCTCTATTTCTCCCCCTTCTCTACCGCTTTCTTCCCCCTTCTACTCTCTGTTTTCTCCCCCTTTCTCCTCTCTGTTTTCAGTGAATAGTGAGTGGTCAATCTGCATACGGCACTGCGTCTGGAATTTTGTTGGAGTAAATCATCGAAAAAAAGATGTTCCACATTAAATGGCTTAAGGACTACCTTGTGGACACCAGCTATTATTGGAGTATCTATTCATATCCTTCGCTTCCTATACAACCTACCAACTAGCCTCTCTATCCCACTTGAGAAGTGTAGTCTTTTAATAAGTGCCTAAAAGTTTCCCGTCTATTTACTCTAGGATTTCTTGATAAATTTTGGCAAAGAGTCCATGTATTTGGAGTATCAAAATCACCTTGATAGTGCTCCAATTAACAATGACCCGTGGCGGTGTCGTATTCCATTGCCTAGCCTTTTGATCGGCCTATGTGGTACACTAATTAGAGGAAAAGCAGTAAGAGGTCTGCATGCCGAGTCTCCTTTGACGAAAAGACCATACTGACGTGAAGGAAAAGCAATCGGCTTTGTATTCGAGAAACTGCTCACACAGAGCTTTTAATGGTTACAATTAACTCACTTTGTAAACGACTGGCAAATAGGAAAATTTGTGGACTGGTACAACCCTTGCAGATTTCCAAATAGAAAGGCCCGAAAGAAGCAATGTTTGAGAAGTACTCTGTAAAAGCGATAGTAAGAATGGTTCACTTGCTAGCACAATGTTCGGAAGGATGGTGGACTAAAAGAAATATATTGACGCAGAATACGAGAAAACTGAAAAAAGAAAAAAAAAAAAAAGAAAGATATTGATATTTGGGATAGTTGAATAGAAAGCACAAGTAATACAAGCATTCATTGATATGGGCTTACCGATAAAAAAAATAAAAAGAAATATCAAAAAAAGATTACGTCCAAATGGAAGAACAGACTTAAATCAGGGTCCAAGACATCATAAATTTGATCTGGGACCAAATGGTAGGCAGCAAAAGGTATTCATTGCAGACTCATATTTTCTGGAAAATGTAGAGCAAAGGTATCTGCTTTCTCCATGTTACTAGTGGCTGTAGGTGGTGGGATGAGATCTTCCCGTGATAGGGCTTGCATATTTTTGGTGAGATTCCACCATTCTTTGGATCCAATATTACTACTCTGCAATTTATGCCGCAGATCAGTTGTCCATCGATTTTTTTACCCACTGAAGGGTTTCTTTAAGGCCCGTACTTTTTAAAACCTTTCGCCAGGGCTGGCGAAAGGTTTCGCCGGGCGATCCGGAATTTCGTACTTTTAAAATCATGCCTAGCGAACGTTCGCAGGGCTGGCGAAAGATCATATTGGAACAGTCTGGCGAAGCAAAGGCGCGAGAGCTGTTTGAATACCATTTTCTTGCTTTCAAGTTATAAATTAGGAACATATTTGTATATGATAGGATGTAGGAATCACATTGAAATTATAAAACATCTTAAAATCATAATTTATTATGAAATAACGTATATACATATTTTTTCAAGACCTTCCATGTTCCAGTCGAGAGCTCAAGACATCAGCTGTATTCCTACCCCCTACCCCTACCCCCCACCCCGAGATGACTTAGTTAGATTTAGGTTGTTATTTTGTTGTAAGGATAATGTTCTTTTCACAAATATTACCAGAAGTTTTTTTATGGCGCATGTTTACTTTTTGGCTATAGAAACATAGCTGTAGTGCTCCACCGCCCTATAATGAGGCGTCTTTAATGATACCCTTGTAGGCCTACAGTTCAATATCTTACATCAGTTAGGAATAGTAAAATAGTTATTTTTGAACTCTTGTTAAAGTATAAAGTTATTTTTTGTATAGAAGTATAAGGTTGATATAGTATAGTATAAAGTACTTTTAAAACCTTTCTCAATGCTGGCGTTTCGCCTGGCGAAGCTTCGCCAGGCCGAACATCTGAGTGAGGGAGGCCTTACTTTTTTAAACTAAAAGGCAGGTGTTCGCCAGGCCTGGCGAACGAAAGGGGTCGCCAGGCGCTAACATCTTGGATTCCTGCTAAATCTAGCGCTTCGGCGAATAAAAAAACGCGAGAAAAAGCAAAAGGTTTTTAAAGTACGGGCCATAAAGTTAACCTTGTTATAGTATAAAGTGTAGTATAGCATAAAGTATAAAGTTAAATTTGTTATAGTATAAAGATACTTTCAACTTCTTTGTTATAGCATAAAGTTAAATTTTAACTCCTTTGTTATAGTATAAAGTGAGACTATTGTGGAAACAACATTTTCGTCTTCTCTCGAGGTTAATAATTAAGTGTAGGTTATGTTATGTGCACTGCAGATGTAAACAAATTTGCGCTAGATTTAGCGGGAATGCAAGATGTTAGCGCCTGGCGAACGTTGGGTTTAAAAGTAAGGCCTCCCTCACTCAAAGGTTCGCCTGGCGAAGCTTCGCCAGGTGAACGCCAACTGCGAAGGTTTTAAAAGTACGGGCCTAAGTCATTTGCAAGCTTGTTTGTGAACACTTTCGTTGCTGCTCGATGAACTTTTCTTGAATTGTCTCCAGGATTCATACTTTGCTTTGGTCGCATTGCGGCACTGATTGCCAAACCAGGGTGGGTCGTCAGGCTTTTCCACGCAACTCCTATGAGAGACATACTTTTTCTGAGTGCCCAGGAGCTTGTTTGTTAACCTGATCCTCATACTGTCCTGCAGCAGTATGTTCCAGTCTGTATTTTGCAGATCTACTTTTGCAGCCTACCAGTTTTCTCTGATCCTCACCCACGTCAATGACAAAGCGAGTGAGAACAGCATTGTGGTCAGAGGTTCTGTGCTGAGAGGTTTACAGCTGAAAAGTAAACTGTGAATATCAAATAAGACTGGATCCACGAATGAACCCAAGTCGCCTGTAGGAAAGTCTACATGATTGTGCAGCTCTTACACAGTTAAGGTGTCAAAAGCATTTTGCACAAGGCGCTGATTCCAGTCATTAGTATTATATTGGAACAATTGTAATGCAGCATTAGGTTATCCAAGTTCGTATGGAGATATTGAATCAGATAACTACCTTGCCGGTGAGGCCTATACATAACACACAGAAGGATGGATTGTTTCCTTGCAGATATGATTTCGAAAAACATTATTTCAGGGATGTCAGGAAGCACCGGGGAGAGTGGTTATATATGGAGATCCTTTTTAAAGCATACTGCCACTCCACCTTTTTGTCCATTGACACGATCTCTGCGTTCCGTTCCCATTGACTATCCAGAGATTTTACATTATCCCTTGGTCACTGTGCTATCAAGGAACGTCTCTGTACGTACTATGATGCCAGGCTTCTCAGAGTGTCATGAGAATTAACTCTTTTATGATGGTGCGAAGACCGCGTACATTAGCCGAAAGAAGGGTTAAGGTTTGTTGGCAGCGCCGCATTTGAGAATATTGATAGGTGTGGGCGGGTATGAATGGACCTTGTAATCCTCTGTAGTATTCCTCACCGTAGTAAGGAATTTGAGTAAGAGTGGGAGGTAGTAGACTGTACTAACTTACTTTGAAATGACTGAAGCAAATCTGCTGTATGGTTAGTCTGTTCGCTAAGTAATGATAAGAAGAAAGATCTCTGCTTCTCAGCAATACGTGTACGACAGTCTGCTCGTGTGTGCCAAGTTTTATGACAGAAATCACAATTCAGTTTTGATCTGCAGTTGTCAGAAGTATGACCCCTTCTTCGGCATAAACTACAGAAGGAAGTCCTTGCAGAGTTTTGTTTTAAAGGGTGAACTTTCTAAATCTCTTGCAAGTCACTGCTTTGCTTTGTGGCCTGAGGGTCGTGTGTATTTATAACTGCCGAGGCACGTTTGGCAGTGAACTCTTCAGAGTTTTGTCTTTGCTTGTGCATAACAAGGGATTTCCACCAGATACTGTCTGAGGAGCTTGCTCGCACAGCATCAATGCGCTCAGGAATAGCGCTATAAACCGTACTCCTTTTTGTTGGCTCTTGGATGTTGCTGACTGTTGCTGCATTGCTGTTAATAAATTGCAAGGCCTGAACAATGGAGTTTCTGGTGCCTACTAGAGACTCGAAGAACCTCTTAAGGTTCGGACCAATAGAGATCGTGCTTCGGTATTCTTTTCGCATGAGCTGTATGTCTTCAATGCAGCTCTTACTGAGTTCCTCCTTTCTAGATTTACACTAGTGGCGTCATCTGAAGTATCTGGATCGCTAGGAAAAGGGAGAGTTTTTGTAGAAACGAATTCTATCGGGTCTGATATCCCAGCAGAGTTTCTAAGTTACCACGTAACTGCAGACGAAATCATTTCCATCTAATGTACAAGCAGCATGACAAACATTAGGGCAGTTCACAGTGTCGCAGGGGATGAAGTTGGGGTTCTTTCCCACTTTCCCACACACACTACACCAGTTCTTTAGGGAGATTCCACTGATGCCCCTCAGGCCGGCCAATCAAGCGGTGTTGAGTATCAACAAGCACAACTGGATTATGGCAGTGGCAGAGAGAGCTTTTTCTGAAGCTAAAATCGTGATGAGAATGGCCAGTTATGGTGGTCCGGTCCTTAGCTAAACTTAGAATTTGCTTGCTGAAGGGGGGAGGTAGGGATGGGTCATAATCAAGGAGGCTGGTCGGTGTTTTCACCCAGAGCCGAGTTCTCTTTGCAGATCCACCGAGGGCAGTGTCACATACCCAGTAGGAGGTGGGGGATGAAAAAGAGAAATAAATAGGGACAAAGAAAAAGTAATGACAAAGTGTAGCAACAAGAGCGGAGGTTGCTTGAAGGTTTGTCGTTCCGACGGTCGTTTACTTCCTGCTAACGACGATGTAAACAAAGGGCGGGAGGTGGCCACGGACCGTGCTGCCCGGGAGATCGCCACCGAGTGAGGAGTTAAATGTCTTAATATCAACCTTTACAATATGAGGTTGAGTTAGTTTATATGCGAGTGGCAGTGATATCCACACAAATAGTAGCAAAAATCTAACTCAGTATGTGTGATATTTTTTCTATGAAATAGAATAAGATCAGAGGAGCCGATGTAATTTCAGTGCTATTCGCCTCCCCCCCCCCTCTCTCTCTCTCTCTCTCTCTCTCTCTCTCTCTCTCTTCTCTCTCTCTCTCTCTCTCTCTCTCTCTCTCCTCTCTCTCTCTCTCTCCTCTCTCTCTCTCTCTCTCTCTCTCTCTCTCTATCTATCTATCTGTTTTTGGTCCCTTTCGCTCCCATTCTTTTTCTTTCGCTCTCTTCCTCTTTTTTCTCTTTCGTTTATCATTTTCCTTCCTTTCTTTACTAATGCTTTTATCTCACACAATTCTCCTATATTTTCTTCTTCTTTCGATTTTTTTTCTTTTTTTTTTTCGTTTGCCGTATTTCTCTTTTTATCTCAATGTCTGGCTCCGCTTCCCTTTCTTTATCTCTTAGTTTTTCTTTTCTCACATTTCTCATCTGTATTATTTTTATCTCTCCTATCACACCCATTTTCTTTCCTTTTTTTCTCTCTTTTCTGTCTCCTGATTCTGTCGCGTTACATAGAACCCCCTTCCCCACAATACAGGGACTGTTGATGCATTTCAGGTCAGAATGGACACGAATGCGCGTAAAATCTGGCGGTTCAGCATTGGCAGCAGAGAGCAGGATGAAGGCCGAGAGATCAGGAGGCTGAGGAGCAGGAAAAGGAAATCGATGCCGGACATATGCGACCACCACGAGTTCTCCTCCCTGCCTCCTGCCGTACCCAGTAGGCCCGTGGCAGGTAACTGGAGGCGGCGTCGAGGTTGCCAGAGGGCTGTGTACTCGTGTAGTGGTGTGGTGTAGCGGATTTTATGGGGTGTCTAATGAGGGCGGGGCCGCCCTGTAGGCCCTCGTTAACTCGGTGTAGTGTAGGGTTCAGGCTATGCCAGAGGGCTGTGTACTCGTGTAGTGGTTTGGTGTAGCGGGGGTGTCTAAGGGGGGGGCGGGGAGGTTAGGGCGCTGTGTACTCGTGTAGTGGTGTGGTGTAGGGATTTTTATGGGGTGTCTAAGGGGGGGGGGGCGGGTCGAGTTACAGGGTCTGATGTACTCATGTAGTGTGGATGTGGTGTCGGGGGTGGAATGCGGATTGGGGGGGCTGTATTTGTAGTATTTCTCGTTTTTATTGTTAATTGGGTTGTTTTTATTTATCACCTTCATCGTCTGTATCAGTATTTGGTATTTTATTATGGTTGATATTATTTTATTAATATTTTTACTGTTATTGTTGTTCTTTTGTTGTCATTATTATTATGATCATTAGTATTAGCGTTTGTATTGTTAGTATTAGTTTTGTTACTAATGATTAGTAGTATGTTATTATTTTTTTTATTGTAGTTGCTATTATTATTTTTTTTTTCTTTGTTATGATATATTTATATATTATTATTATGATTGTTTTTGTCATACTTGTTATTGTTGTTGATATTGTTATTATTCTTATAATTATAATTTTCATTGCAGTGATAATGAGGGTTACTACTGTGGTTATTGTTGTTATTGCTATCATTATTGTTTTCATATTGTTTTTGTTTATATTGCTATATTCTCTTTATTATTAAGCTTATTATATCATTGTTTCCTGCCTGTTATTGTTATCATTATCGTTATCACTGTTAATTTCTTTGTCATTATCACAGGTATGATGATTCTCATGATCACTGTCATTTTTATGATTATGACTGATATTGATATATTATTTATTTATGGTTGATAATTTTATTATTGTTGGTGTTATTTATTGAATTGAATTATCATTTTCTTTATTATTGTTATTTTCATTGTTATTTTTATTGTTACTGGTATTATCATTATTTTTTTTGTATTATCATTAATTTTCTCACTATATTTTTATCAACTTTTGATTCAGTAATTTATCAGTGGCTGAATTTTTATTATCATTATTTAATAGTAGGTTTATGATGCTGATTTTTGTTGTTATTATTGTAATTATTATTTTTTAATTATTTTTTATTATTATCAATATTAGTTATTACTATTATCATTATAATTATTGTTATCATTATTGTTATTCCTGTTTCATTGCTGTTATTGTCAAAAGTAATAGTCAAAGTCAAATTACTTAATTCCTTTAAATAAATAGTTCTTCTTTTTACATAGATAGTAACAGCATACAATAATACAGAAATAGGAGAAACAATACAAGATACATTATTAGGAGATTTTTTAAATATAATGATATAGAATACGATGGTCACATCATTAAACATAGATTTGCATGCTTTGGTTTTGCAATTAGATGCCTGATGTCACTGACAGTTTCAAAGATGCTCCTTTAATTTCTTTCTGAAAGTTACTCACTTGGTTGGAGATGTTTTTAAGATTTTATGGTAGTGTTCCTGATTTTGGAGCTTCGGATTTGCATTTATCTTGACCCTGTTTCCGTGCATGATCTCTTGACGTGTAGAGATGTAATTTGTCTGTCTGTCTGGTATGCATGCCTGTTTTGTTACCAGTTGTATGTAGAGGCATTAACCTAGGAGGATTGTCTCCCTATATAAATTTGTGAATGCATATATGTGTGTCATATTGACATTTTTGTTGATTTTTTAACCATTTTAATTGTTTATATGGGGGGGGTTATATGTTTGTTTGATTATATTGCCTATTGTCACTCTTGCTGCAATGTTTTTTAGTTTCTGTGCTTTTTGTATTTGAGTTTTGTTGGTTGAGCCCCATTTGTTGGAACAGTGGTTTATAATGCAGAGGGCAAGGGTTTGTACAACAGTAATTCTCATGTCAGTAGGGATTTTGTTATTTATGTGAATTAGGTGTATTAGTGTGCCCATTATCTTTTTGTAAATGTGTCTCAAAAGTCATATATCTGTCTGTGTACTAGATCTTTAACAGTTATGCTTGGTTTCATATGGTAGCCTTCAAATTTTATGCCGTTTTTTGGTATTTTGGTCTGTTTTGTCAACTACCTATAAATATGCATTAAGTTTTATCAGGATTTAGTTTGAGGCAGTTGTTATCAAAATATATTTTTGCTTCTGTGAGTCTATTGAGTGCTTCTTATCAATTCATTTAAATTATTTATAGGGGCAGCATGAAAAAACTTAGTCATCAGCATACTGAACAAGGAGACAGTTGCTTGCAGTGGTTGATAGGGGGTTAATGAATATAGTGAATAAAATTGGTCCTAATATTGAGCCTTGTGGGACACCAAAAGCGACTGGTTTCTTAGATGACATATTATCATGAATTTTGATTGACTTGTGTTCATGTGGATAGATATCTTCTAAAGCAATAGTTGTAAATTCCAAGTCTTCATTTTCTTAAGCAATATTTCATGGTTGACACTATCAAATGATTGTGGTAGATCACACGATGTTCGTAGATTTATTTGATTTTTGTCTATGATGTCATAAATTTTGTGTGTGATTCTTAATAATGCTGTTTCAGTGGATGGCTGACTTCTAAACCCATGCTACATTTCTGGAATGTGGTGATTGGATTCTAAGTATGTTCATGGTTGATTTGCAACAGTGTTTTGTAGCACTTTAGATATCACTGGGGGTAGATTTATAGGATGATAATTATTAATTTGTTCTGTTCTTTTTGAGAGATTTGTAAGCATTATATCAGTTATGTATAGCTCTTTTGATGTCCTCATTTATCCATGGAGTGGCTGGACGTCTAACAATTTTGCTCTTATAGAAAGCAGTGGCATCAATACTATTTTTAGCACATTCGATAGAATCTCTACTTGTCTGTTAAAGTCGTCTGTTGTTAAAATTTTTAAGAGAATCGACTGGCTGGCATTGATATTTTGACTTAATAACTGGGATTGTAATTTGTCCGGTCAAGTGATGTTTTTATGACAGGTGATCTGCAATCTGGCAAGGGATAACATCAGTATAGTACATGTGTTTTATATAATGACATCTGGTATGGATGAGGTGTTTTCAGTGATCCTTGTAGGTTTATTTATAAGTCAATATAATTTGTACTTCCTAATTATCCCAGCTAACTCTTTATTTGGTTTATTTAAGTCTTCATTAATGTCACCTAAGATGAAAAAAGCTTTCTTTTCATTGAAGTTTCTCTAAAAACATCTTCGAGGATGTCAAATAATTCAGATGTAGCATGAGGGTGTCTATGAAGGAAGGATACATACTGCTTTATTTACACCTGTAGTGGAGATCTTATTTGATTTAAGGGTGTCTTTCACATAGATGCATACTCATCCACCTCGCCCTGCATCACATCTATAAACATTGAAATTTTGAATGTTAATGAAATTACTTTGCATTTCTTGATGAAGCCATGTTTTTCTAATGCAAAGGATGTCTGTGTTTCTCTCCATAATCATTTCAATTTCTTCAAATTGACCAAGAAGGGACTGCTCATTAATGTGGTATTGAAATAGACTACTTGTTGCCATTTATCTTACTTTTCATAAAACTACCAAGCAGAAATACCAGCAAACTTTCATAATATCAATTGCTGATTACTACTGCTGCTGCCTCTGCTTCTTTCGCCTCTATTTCTTCTTCATTTTTTTTTTTTTTTTTTTTTTGAAAGCCTGTGGATGGGTGGGAAGGTCTGGCTGGCACTGTGAGGGGAGTGTGATGACAGGGTCATGTTGTGATCAACGGCAAGGGGATGATGTGGTAGAGAGGTGGCAGTGTGAGGAATAGAGAGGGTTGGCAGGGTGATTGTGTTATGGAGGAATGGTAGAGTGACAATGTGGTTGACAGATGGCAGGGTGATGGTGAGGTGGATGAATGACAGGTTGATTGTGTGGTGGTAGTGTGGTAGAGGGAGGGATGATGGTGTGGTGGAGGAATGGAAGAGTAGTGCCTTGAGAGAGGAATGTTGAGGTGATTGTTTTGTAGGGAAACAGCTTGATGATTGTGTGTGGAGTGATGGCAGAGTGATTGTGTGGTGGATTAATGGCAGGATGATGTAGTAGGGGAATAGCAGAGTGTCATTGCAGTAAGGGGTTAGAGTGAGGTGTAAGAAATCATATAGAACTTGCACCATTTTCTTTCATTTCTGTTTGCATATTATAATCTCTGATAGCTAAATTCCAAGGGTAATAATTGTAGATAATATCTTATAGAAGGAAGAATCAATTAGAGTATGTTTTTTCATTGATATTTGATCAAATCATTTACACTTTACTAATCAGACCCACCTTTATCAGGCAGGTACATTTGGCACAAGTGTGAAGAATACCAACACACTCTACAGTTTACACTTTAATAGAAAACCCACAATACATAAACCAGTGTCTTCATGCCTGTATTTTACTATATTGCCTGAAGATGAAATCCAGGAATATTTTTGAACTTTTCTCACATTTTGATAAATTTTGTTTGTGCATAGTGGATATTCTACCACAACATATGTGTAGATGATAGTGGCACTGCATTAAATTGTTGTATTTCCTTTACGATGGATCTTTTTAGGCTTTGTTTATTTTCAGGAACAAGGAGAACAGTTAAGCCTATTTTAGATGTAGCAGATTTTAGTCATTCAGACTGAATGAAATTGTTGGCTAGCTGAGAAAGTGTGCATCATCTGTGACCTCCTTTTTAGAGCATTGCCACTGCGTCAATTAGTTGACCTTATGTTACTTCACCTGATTTCCCTGTTCTTTGAATTCCTGTGATTTTTTTTGTTTTTTTGTTTTTAGATTGATTATGTATTATTATTAATTATTATTATTATTTGTTATTAATATTGTTATCAACATAATTGTCATTAAATACTAATAAATCAAAAAGAATCATTCCAAAAATCAAGGAAAAGAGAAAACAGGTGATAAATGAACTAAAATCACAATCATTACATGCCATCCCCAACAGTGGTGGGTTGATATAATTTTAGGATTTGTTCAAATTTAGTGTAACAAGTGAGGATTCAATACATTCAAAATTCCAAACAGTTTTCAAGTGGTTGATTCATTTTTAATTATATTATTCTTTTTTTCATTACATTGTTTTCACTAACGCAGATTGTATGTTAAAATGCACATTTTAATTGTAGTGGACAAGGCAGAACTTGGGCACTAAATTATGAATTTCATATTAAAGTCAGTCTGACAGAGATAGGACTTTCCTCCCTTGGGAAGGGGCACTAAGATGCAACTATAAGTAGTTGCTAAAATACATAACCAACAATTATTGAAGCAGTACAGAATAGAAATCAACACCAAATTGTAATTTATGAATGTTGGACTTATGATAGACAACAGTGAAAGGTAACTTCATAGATGAGTTAGGGCAGTAACACAGTGAAATGTTATACCTTTATTTTGTCTTGTTTTACAGAGTCATCTTTAAGAAGACTTAGTGGAAATGAAATTACTTTCAAGGAAAAGCTAGGAACATTCCTCCAGAAGTTTAAAACAGGTAGGAAAGGGAGTATTATATGGATCTTTTTATTTAGCTACTGAACTTTAAAATGTGTATTGCAAGAAAAATGTTTGTTTCATTATTAAAGTGCTATAGACTCTGTTAGGATAATATTTAGAATTTGTTGCCTTAATTACCATAAGGTATGTTTTCTTTACTTTTAGTTAATACCTATTAACCAAGTCTTTACATTTATCAACTGCAGCATTGTCTTAAGTAGACTTTATGATCCTGTCTATGAGAGGTTAAATAAAAAAAATCACTAGTTACATAGGGTTCACTATTTTTTACAATGTCTTGAAGGTTATGTCGTGAACATGCAACTGTTTGTCTCTCTCCAGATTTTTCCTCATTAACTGTAAAAGCCCAAAGTTCCCAGAGAGTTGAACCAGAAAGAAGCCAGTCTACCAGTAGCTGCAGTAGCCCTCCACAAGGTTCATTGCCGAACAAGAGGAAAAAGTCAGTAAAGACAAAATCTACATGTAGTACATCAGGCTTGAAGACCCCTGTATGGAAGAACAAGCCCAATCCTTTGAGCAGAAGCTTAGATCGTACAAGGTTAGAAGAATTGTGTGGGAGTAGCAGGAGCTTGCCAACCAGGCCTAGTGGATTTGGGGCTGAGGAACCTTTGTCATCACCTAATTACCTGTGGAAAAACAGAGGTCCCAGTGGCAGGTCTCTGTCACAAAGGGAGAAACACACAATGAATAACAATTACTTGCAGGAACACTGTTCAAATCCAAGTGAAAAGGAAAAAATTAGTGCTATAACTTCCCAGCAGAAATTCAAGTCGCCAAATCAGAAACTAACATGTATCTCCAGCAAGGTGAATAATAAAGGAGTAATCTCCATGGAGTCTATGTCAGATGCTTTAGGACTGATAGTGGCCACAGGTATATACACAGGGGTCAAAAACTTGTATGAAAAGATCTGGTATCAAGAAGAAGCTGGTATTCATGGGTTGCAAAATTACATTGTTGAAGATATTATGCAGTTAGGTGAGGCTGGTGAACAAGCCACACGTTTCCTTTTGGCTGAGATGTCATCCCAGCATTTGAAACGCCTTGTTCATGGTGCCGTGCTCATAATTTGTGATAATTTGCAGGATGTGCATTGAATTGTTTAGATATGGAGGTTGGTCTATTTTCTCTTTTCTAATGTGATACAGCCATGAATTCTGTATTTTTGTGGTATAAGGACTAGTAGTTTGCAAGCCTGAGCAAGCATTGAAGACAAAAAGCATAACCTCAAATACACACAGATTTCAGCCATGTTCCGGAAATGACAATGAAATAGTTTGTTTTTACGAGAAATTCCTTTTGATTATGTCTTTCACACTCATGTTTTATGTAAATGGTTAAGAGAATCATTCGCAGACTACCCCTGATCACTTATTACTTGTTTAAAGGGCAGACAGTGCAGGGGTTATCTTTTAGTGCACACACTACTTTTTAATGTAATGATTTGACAGTATGAAAGTTCAGACAGTCATTGGATTTAATTGCTTTCATTTTTTGTTGACTTAATATTGCCTTGACTTCTATCTGTATGAAACAAAAGGTTTGAATAAAAGAAAGATAATAATATTGTTTTTACTGTAATTTCTTGATAAATGAAAGTGGAGTAGCTAATTTGTTTATTTAATGCAATTACTTTGGGAAGGAAGTTACTTTAGAGTTCTTCGCTAAAGTATTACCCACCTTGTTATTAGCTTGCCAGTTTATACATGAAAACTGATTTCTATATGCTTCTCATTTATTATTTTATCTTATTCAAACTATAATGTTTGGATATACATGTATATCTATTTTGAGAACTAACTTCATTTTTTCACTGACAAAAGAAACCTACATTAACGTATCAGTATTTTATTTCAGATAAATATCTGAATGTATTTTCCAGTGATATAAAGTTCATATAAATATATATGAAGGTTAATCTGAAAGTTTTACCTTCAGAAAATTGCATTGCTTTTTTCAGTCTGTATAGAAATTGGTCATTTGTCTTTCGGCAACTCTATCCTTTGGGTTGCTTCATCTGGATTTATGTTTGTTATTTATCTTCAGGTCCTGAGAAAATAAAAAGTTACCATTATTATGTGGTCTTTTGATGCTTAGATTTGGCTTATGTGCGGTTTATGAGATCCTTGTTTGGTTTCTTTCTTGTTTTGAAGCCAAACAAGTTGTAGTGTCATTGATCCAAAAGTGATTTTGGCTTGATAAAATGGTGGAGGGTTGGAGGCCAGAAAAAGCTTGTGGTGTTTGAGGAATTGCATACTCAGCGGTCTTGGTATGGCTGCAGTTAGTAAGTGGGGAAGCTGCTGTTGTATTTCCAGTTTGTTTCCCTTCTTTCCCAGAATGCAGAGATGCAGAGATGACACTTTCTGTACATTATCTTTTGCAGTTGATGTAACCGATTTTATTTGATAGATAGATATTTATTTAATACCAATCAGTAGCCTATTCTAGACAGGAAAAGATGTAGAATATACTGACACATGTTAAGGAATCTTATTCAAGACCATATGAATACTGGATCTGTTTTGGGTATCAAAAAGGATCTCTATATTATTGATTGGCCAAGGAAGCTAATTTAAGATATGGTTTCTTGCCTAGTATATGCTGCATTATGTGATAATCTAGGATCTAGTTTTATTGATTTTTTTCAGGTATATATTAAGGGAGAATGATTTAAGATAGGCAAATTTTTAGGTTACACATTCATATAATCATAAATATAAATGAATGATAGATGTAAGTTTCAATGACAAAAGTTATTTAAAACTTACTGAGGTAGTATTTTAAATGAGGAATAAACTCCATTATGTTGCTGATTATATCAAGGAAGGAAATGCTGGCCATGGGTAACTAGGATAACCTTTTTTCTAATAACTTGCACTGAATATCACTGGATGCATTAGTTTTATGAAAATACTTTAAAATTATCTATAGCAGATATGCACAGTAAAAGTTTATACATAAAGAATAATTCATTATTTATGAATAAAACAAGGTTTCTTATTTCATAACAAAGTATTAGTTATCAAAAAAGTCTTATAGATGTTTACCCATTGTTACTGGTATGTGTAATACCAACTGTAGTTTTCTTTTGTCAATTATGTTTACACATAGATGGGTCCACTAGGGCTTAGCTCTATAACTAGCCCTATGTGACAGTGACTGCACCTGATTTACCCTTCTCTTGAGTTCTTAGGATTTTTTTCTAAAGCTATTAATATTGATATTGTTATCATAGGCATTATAATGGTTATAATGTGATTAACAATACTAATAGCGATAATACAAACTTAAATATTTACTTTCCAAAAATCAAGAAGGGTAAACATGAGATAGGTAAGACTAGTAAGTAACTCCTTGCTGATTACTCACTATGTGTAAAGACAATTAATATATAAAATGGAAGACCAGCAGTGGACATGGCATGTCTTTGGGTGTATAATTATTAATAGAAAAACAACTTTGTGGACATGCCAAACTTCACAATCAGTGACTTTTAAGGCTGTGAAGAGGATAAACAATTTCTTGTCTGAAAAATAACTTTTTTCCCCATTTGCTGTTGAAGTTTTTAAAAGGGATAATATTGAAAAATATATATAAAATCATATTTATTTATTTCTACACTTGTACATTCTCTTACCCTAATATAAACAGCAAATATTAGTGATGAAGGAGAAAATAAATGATACAATGTTGTTTTTCCTCAGCAGATGTTAAATTAAGCAAAGATTCAAGGAAATGTCATGCACAGGAGATCCAAAGACAAAAATGTAAATAAAATTTTGTCTCCCTTTCCCACATGCTTGACATTCTGAGGGAAAATAACAAATGAGTTACTTTAAACCTACTTTCACAAAAGTAATAAACATCTTAGGCTAATGTGTGTTAAAGGCATCATACATTTGTGAGTGTCAAGACATTGTACAGCTATTGTGAGACAGGTCAGGAAAATAGACATTTCAGTTAACCCTAATCTCCTATCTCGGTTTATGATTATTGTCACAGGGGGACTGAAGGATGGGAAAATGTATCTAATGTGTTAATATGTAATTTATATGATATGACTCGTGTGTTGGGGCATCACCTGACATTTTGATTATTAATCCGTAGTAAGGTGGAACTATTATTATTTAATTATTTTGTCAGTTAATCTGTTTAAAAGTTTTGGTCACTTTATATGGTGTTCCCACAATACTGTTTTTTCTTGCTTTTAAATCTATTTTTCACTTAAAAGAAGGAAGAAGGAAGATGTGTCTGCATATGTGATGAATGAGTTAGTTGAAAGAAAAAAAAAATCCCATATCTTATGAAAATTTATGAGATCTGTGAGATCTTTACATGAGATGAATGTATGGATGACAAAAAAAAAAGTGTGAAAGCTCTCTGGGCTGTATCAATGATAACTAAATACATTCTAGCATAGTATACCTTTATACTAAAAAAAAAAACTTGGTTTTTGTTTTTTTTCTCAAAATGTTCACAATAACACTGGTTTTAGTATACTTGATATTTCACATTCTTTAAAAATTATTAATTATCTTTTAATATTTCTTTATAGATTTTTTTTATGTCATATTTGACCAAGTTATAACAGATTCCAAGAATTTGTAATCCAGTCTTTACTGGACTTCCATTTTGGCTCGAACTTTGGCATGGATCTTCTGGAATTCACAAGATGGCGTCTGCTCATTCTCCACATTGCCCTTTTCAGCTTTCTCCATCTGCAGCGGAAGAATGTTGTGTCTGAGTCATGTGTATGGTTAAGCATTTTAGAAAATACTGTCAGTTAAATTCATCCTAAAGAATGGCCTGTCCATATGATATACATGTTTATATTTCTCAAGAATTTTCAATTGTTAATAACATCCTTTTCAAAACTGCAGTACATTTATGCGGCAGTTTATTTCAAATCTATATAATGTGACCATTTATCTTTCCAAACAGGAAGATTGCTTACACATTAGTAAATAAATACATGAAAATAAGTACATACGAATATGAAAATCATCATTCAAATCCAATCCCGAGAAAAAAGTGGTCACAAACCTGTTCAATTTTTTGAGCTCTCTCATCTAATGCCTTCTGGAAGGGGGTCATTTCAGCTTGCTTCTTCTCCTGCTGTTCCCTTAACACCTTCTTGTCATTGTGTTTCTCCATGGCCTTCTGCAACTCTGTTTTCTGGTTTAGCACATTGACGCCCCTGCAAGACAAGTATGTTCGTTAGATAACTTTTTTCCCATCCTATACATAAGTGAGAAATCGTTAAGTGCACAAGTCCTGAAAATCATTAAATTTTACAGATTTTGAACATATTTTCATTTATAAATCAAAAATAATTCCCGTTAAAAAAATCGCTTCTACGTTCCAGAAATGTATATAGCTTGATCTTTTCTTTAAAATAGTCATTTATTATAAAGATTAAAATTATTAGTTTCATCTGTACTATTTTGACGAAAATTGTGGTGAATTATCTTGTCTGGCATTCCCTACAACCAGCCAAAGGATAAAAATAATAATAATAATGATGATAATAATAATAAATCAGTTTCCCTTACATCTTCTGGTTAAATTTGAGTTCTCTGTGGAGATTCATTTTGTCTGACGATTCGAGGCAGGGGTTGACTAGCTTCTTGGGCATGATGAGGCCGCGACCGTCCAGCCGTTCCGAGGCCGGGTGCTGGCCCTTCTCCTGCTCTTTGTTGTTGCTGCTGCTGTTTCTGCAAAGACACTGGCTTTTAGCTCCTTTCCTTCCGCTTCTCTCGAGTATCACGAGTATTAGATCTCTTACTGACGTAGCTTCTAACCGCTTTCAATATTGTCAAGTATGAATTCTTACAAGGAAGGCAAGTAATACCCGTATGGCCATGTAGCTTAAAAGAATGGATTTATACATCATGCAACATTGAACAAAGAGCTGTATAGTAAAATATAAACAAACAATAATAATACAAATAATAACATCGCAAATAACTTACGTGTTCACTTTATTGTTCCTAGCGACCATACTGCTGACGCTGGAGGGCTGAGTCTCCCTCTCGTCGTCGCTGTAGTCTGGCTCGGGGATCATGGCGCCGTACACTACTTCTGTCGGGGTTAAAAAGTCTGTTAATATCAGAGTCGTAAAATCGAGCACGGTCGACAATAAACAAGTCGAGAGAGAACCAACATGCTGTATCGTAACTATTTCATAGGCATGTAGTCACTGTGCTAGAATAAAGTACAGTACTATAAACTACGGGAACCTTGTAGTGAAAACTTATGGGCCGAAACCGTAGAGTTTACCGACGGCTTGATACTAAAATCGTACAGCAATACGATACTCATTCTACATACTCAAATATGTGAGCATACAGATAATAAACAACCAATCCGTAACTATAACTCTGGAAATGGAACAGATAAAACACTTCTCCTACATGCAGCAGCAGCAGCAGCAACACAAGGTCAACACTGCAACGCTCAGTCGCATCAGCCACAGCATGGAGTATTCGAGCTCACGTTTCTGGTGAATTTGAACTTTCTGCCAATGAAGTAGACTTTCTTTTCTGTCTCTCTTTCACTGATTTCTGTCTCTTTTGTGCCAATTGTTTGCCGAATCGACGGAACGAGCTCAAATAACCACACGTCATGCAAAAGACCTGAAAACTGCCCAACGCAGGAGCGGCTGCTACAAGAACTAAGCACTCGCGCAGGTTGCTACAGTAAGTATTAACCGAGCATGACGAGGGGGATAAAAATGGTTAAAAACATTATTAAAAATACATGCAAACACCTAAACATACAATAAAAAAAAAACTTAATGCGCCAAGATGTGTCGCAAGTAAACTCAACTTAAGCGATTTGTTTTCTTCCCCAAGAAAATGTAGCTTCTTGTCTTGTTGTTTTCGTGTACAGCTAATTCTTATTAAACTCCGTGTCTTTTTTGACCCATAAACTATAATGACAGTAATCAAAGAAAAGAAAACGAAGAATAGTCAGAGAGAATGGTTAAATGTTCAACATGGTTGGATGTACAACTAGTGCTGCCGCCGGGCGGACACTGCGGCAGGAGCACGGTTGAATGAGAAAGAAAGAGAAGGAACGAGGAGCGGAAAAGGGTAGTAGTAATTATAAAAATATCTGATAGAGGAAACATAAGAAAATGTAAGAAAAGACGGCTTAAAAGGGAGGGCCGACATGCAGACACTAATGAAAGCTACAGCAGATCTTGACATTCCCTTTCCACTCGAAATTAAACAAACTTTGTTCGTAATGAATCCATAAACTGTTTGATGTGAACGTGTCATGTAAACAATATGGGATAGCGTGCTGTCTCTCTCTCTCTCTCTCTCTCTCTCTCTCTGTCTGTATGCAACATCACAGCTGGAACTAGAGTAGTAATAAACACAGGAAGTGCGCAACACTCTCTAGAGGTAACATCTACGAGGACATCTGAAGGAGAAGAGGACGGGGAGGGAACTCGGCGTTACCTCGGCCCTGCTGCTCGAAGAAGGCCAGCTTCCCCTTGATGCTGGGCACCTCCTCAACGGGGGCGCGTATGTACTTCTTGAGGGGCATCTTAACCGAACTGGAGTCAACCTTAAGCTCTTTTACGAAATCTCGTGCTTGCCTGCTTGCTTGTCTCTTTGTTTTGCCTTTTATTTACACTGCCAAAGTTCACGCTACCCTTTTGTTTCACCTTTCGCTCGCGGCCTTAGAGCCTCAGCGAGTCCAGCGGAGCGAGTCCTCGCAGCCGTGAGAGATCCCGGGCACTTTGTTCAAACACTGAAATGCACAAAACATAAAAGGAAACGTTTTTTTTCTCTTCTATTTCCTGAGTTTCTTCTTCTACAAAACGTCACACCAGCCATCCGAACACCCTATTTCCCGCCGATATGTGGTTGTGGGTCAAGTCTCGCGTTTTCTTAACACTCGCGCGCACTAGGGCTTCCTCCTGAACGCGGAGGCGGCGCGGCATTAACCTCCGGTCCCGGGCGGGCTCCGAGGCACGCCCGCCACGTCGCTCTCTTCGCCACCAAACGAACGGTCACCGCCGCTGCAGATCACGGCAAAAGGGAAACACACAAACGGTGAGGGGGGGGGGAGAAGGAATCACCCCCATCAACTCTATATTAATCCCCTCTCCCTCACCCACCTACCCACCCCCACCCAAAAAACACACAAAATCCCAATCTACGACCCCCCTCTCCCCCTCCCCCCCTTCCCCCCCAGCTCTCCCGTACCCCAAAGTGACCCCGCCCGCTCCCAGCAACCCTGCAAGCGCCCCGAGTACCTGGGGTCAGCACGCCGCGTATTAACGCCGAGGGACCCGACTCGGGCCTCGATTTCCCAGCACTCGGGAGTAGTTTTGAGACTAATTCTGAACTGAATTTAGGGGTAAATTGGGCGATAGTAAGACTTATTCACAATTGGGCGATAGTAAGACTTATTTCAAGGAAAATTGGGCGATAGTAAGACTTATTTCAAGTAAATTGGGCGATAGTAAGACTTATTTCAAGTAAACTGATGAAAATTGGGCGATAGTAAGACTTATTTCAAGTAAAATAATTGGGCGAAAGTAAGACTTATTTCAAGTAAACAATTGGGCGATAGTAAGACTTATTTCAAGTAAACATGAAAATTGGGCGATAGTAAGACTATTTCAAGTAAAGTAAATTGGGCGATAGTAAGACTTATTTCAAGTAAACTGATGAAAATTGGGCGATAGTAAGAATTATTTCAGGTAAATTGGGTGAGAGTAAAATTTATTTCAGGAAAATTGAGGTAAATCAGACGACAGTAAGACTTATTTCAAGTAAATTGGGGCAAATAGGGCGATAGTAAGACATTTCAGGTAAACTGGGCGATAGTAAAACTTATTTCAGGTAAATTGGGCGATGGCAAGACAACAACGTAGAGTGGGTGGATAAGAAAGAAACTAAGATAATGCAAGGTGAGAAAATGGAATGGGAGATAAGGTTAACGAGATAAGAAAGACAAATGAAGGGAGAAGCCGAGGCGTACGTAAGAGGAGAGTAAACGGGAGAGGGTGAGGGAGGACAAGAAGAAAGAGGGAGGGGTAGGGGAGGGGGAGAGGAGGAGATAGATAGATAGAGTGATAGATAGACAGACAGACATACAGAGAGAGAGAGAGTGGAGAGGCACAAAGAGAAAAAACGAGAAGAGATAAAGAGAAAGAGCTAATAATAATGCGCGCGCGCGCGCACACACACATACACACACACACACACACACACACACACACACACACACACACACACACACACACACACACACACACACACACACACACACACAACACACACACCACACACACCAAAAATACATCCCTCATTAAAAAAAAAAAAAAAAAAAAAAAAAACACACATGAAACCATAAGAGAAGCAAAGGAGGTGATAACGAAGACGAAAACCTGCAGAATCGGAGAAGAAAGGAGGAGGAAGGAGGAAGAAGAGAGATCCCTGTCGCTAAGACTTCCTGTGGGAGAATAAAGCCCCATACGTAAGGCCTTCATGTCTGACGCACGGAGAGGGAGGAAGAAGAGGAGAGAGGAACGAGAGAGGGGGAGAATAAAGGAGGGGACGCACGAGAGGGAGGAAGAAGGAGGAGGAGGAGGAGGAGGGAGGAGGAGGAGGAAGGGGGAGGAGAGGGAGGAAGGGAGGGAGGAAGGAGAGGAGGGAGGGAGGAAGGGAGGGGAGGAGGAGGAGGGGGGGGGGAAGGAGGAAGGAGGAGGAGGAGGAGGGGGAGGGAGGGAGGAAGGAGGAGGAGGAGAGAGAGGGAAGGGAGGGAGAGAAGGAGCGGAAGCGAGGAGGGGAGAGGAGGAAGGGTAGGGGGGAGACTGGAGGAAAAGGAGGAGGTAGGCCGAAGGAGGAGGGGAGGAGACGGGAGGGAGGCAGAGAGGGCTCGAGGAGGAGGAGGACGGACCAGGCGGGTAGGATTGAGAGGAGGAAGGGGGGAGGCAGGAGGAGGAGGATGGAGGAGGAAGAAGGGAGGGGGAAACAGGAGGAGGAGGAGGAGGAGAAGGGAGGGGGAGGAAATAGGAGGAGGCAGGATGAGGAGGAGGACAGGCGATGGGAGGAAAGAGGAGGAGGAAGGCTGGAGGAGGAAGGAGGCGAGGAGGCCGGAGAGAGGGAGGAGGCAAGAGGAGAAAGGTCGATAGCAGGGAGAGAGAGGCTTGGGGGGGGGCTCTCTCGGCCATGCTTGCACCGTTTCTCTTTGCTGAAGTATTGCGCGGAAAATTTTAGAAAAAAGAAAAAAATTTAACACTTTGTCTCAGACAGACAGGGGGATATGCTAACGTGATTAATACGTGTTTCTGGCACTTGGACACGCAGCAATGCAGACACACACACACCACACACAAAATGCCGGCGCCCCGCCCACACCCCCCACACCAAATCATGCCCAGACAACACACAAATGCCCCCCCCTGGCGCATACACAGACACACACACACACATAATGCCGCGCTCCCCACACAGGCACACAACAACCAAATATCGTTACGCATAATTCCCCATTAAAAAAAATTGAACGCAAGAGAAGCAAGTATGAACCACAACAAAGACCATAGAGAAGCAATAACGCACAAGAAATAAAAAGTTTAATCTCAATTTTAACAACAAAACAAGATCGACAAATAACACCAAAACCTTAGGTACCCGCTCCCGGCCCCCCTCCCCCCCTCAGCTCCGCCACACCATAATCTAGGAATAGATTTCCCCCGCCCCTTTTTCGCGCTTATACTCACGTTCAGACACAGACTCAGCCCAGGAGAAGATGCAGAGCTGCGACATTTCTCTCCGCCTCTAATGCTAGACACAAGAGCCCACATTTCTTCTGGATGTCAGGCAATAGCAAGTTTCGAATGAATAAGACGAGCCTTATTGTTATAATGACAAATCATTGTTGTTGGCGTTTTTTTTTGTCCTTTTCTTGTGATGAAGGGGTAGGTCCATATGATAGATCGCGGTTCTTTCGAGTCGTTACGCCGAGTGTTTTGTTTATTGGTCAGTATGCGAAACCGACAATGACACGGAAGCGCAGTCAACATAGAAACTATGCTGAACATAGGATCACGACATGTTATAACGGCTCGACAACCATTGAGCGCAAGACGCGGCGTAGCGCGCGCAAA